GCCATTGCTTTGAGCATCCAAATCACTGAATTCGATTTGTGCGTTGTGGTTGGACTCAGGTGTGGGTGAATCTATCTTGTGATCTGTGATAGCACCAAGTGATTCAACCGCAGCTGGAACGCTCGAAGCACTTGACAATAGGGATATAGGTTGCGACCCCACAAACCACTCGGGTTTCGATCGTTGCTTGCGTTTAATATAATCACGGAAAGTATTTTGAATTCTAATTGCAGCCGAAATTTCAGATACTGTATATATTGAACTTTCCTGATTCACGGTCTGGGGTGTCTTTTGTGCAGCTTTTCTTGACAAGAACATTCGAAATGATTTCTGAATTTTAATAGCTGCGTGAATCCGATTAAATTTACTTTGCGAATCATCTAACATTTCATTTTCTGCAGTCTTACTATCGTTGATGCCGTTTACATCGTAAGACTCATCTCGTGATTTACGAATTTTGTAGGCTTTATAAGCCCTCTTTATAATATTAGCGCTATTCGTTAGTTGTATATTATCAGTAGAAGAACAAAGATTTTGACCATCCAGCTCAGTTGGCTTATTTTGATTTTGCTTATTGCTATCATAGCTATCAGCAATTGGTTCCTTATTGATTTTACTTGTAATATATTCTTTTTCTTTAAAGTTGGTTTGAAAATTAGCAACTGATTTATCCGTATCTACTTTCACCTCAGTACTTACTTCATTTTCGTTCAGTTCTTGTATTGTTTGTAGCTTTGGAGTAACAAATTCCTGATAACTTTGTTCAAGTACCGAATCAACAAAATCTTCATCCTGAGAGATTTTGCTCCTATTACATTTTGTACTCTTTTTCTTCTCTGATTGCTTTAAGAACTTTTTTGGTATTTTAAAACATGTCCTATCATCGTTGCCATCGAATGAAATAAAATAGCAAATAGATTGTTTGGACTTGATTGGCTCATTGCTTTCAGCTTTCGCTCCATTTATGTAACTAGGAGATCTCTCAATGTTCCTAGATGACTTTATTTCTCCTAGAAATGTGTTTTGTTGGTCAGACTCTCTAGCACTTGCATTCATATTCAACTCATTTGGTTCATTATAAACTTCATACCACAAACCTTTGTCGGTCGTATTCTTAAAAGATTTTAGCTGTAATTCAGCAATTGGCGTCTGCAATAATCGGTTCGATGTATGATTTGATAACTGTTTATCCTTAACATTTGACACTTTTTTTATTTTTTGTGATGCCGTCTTACTGATTTGGGAGCCAATTAATTGATTACTCAAAGGCAACGAAGATTTGTTCTGCTAATGTTAAGGACAAATTATAGAATGATATATTTTTTGTAGCCTTACCACTATTTACATCAGAAAAAGGATCATCTTTTTTCAATCCATCGCTTGGTTCGTTAACTGCTTTAACAATATATGTTAGAAGTAAGGGTGTATATTAATACAGATATAAATATTAATATATATACAAATATTGCATACTTTACCCTAAGTAACAGCTAAATAAGTTTCAAATTGAAAAAGTAAGAAAACTGAACCCGAAGAATTGATATTTCACAATAATAAAAGGTGATGGTGAGGGGGTGGA